TCCTCTAGAATGGTTAAAATTAATAAGACCGACAATACCAAGGGTTGATGAGGCTACAGAATAACTGGAATTCTCATATATTGCTAGTGGGAATAAAATATGGTACAATCACTGTGGAACACAATTTGACAGTTTCTTAAAAAAGTTAAACATGCACTTTCCATAATACTCAGAAATTCTATTCCTAGTTATTTATTCAACATCATGAATAATATTGGATATGTCTACACACAAAAAATAAAAGTGTCTACGCAAAACACTTGTACATGAAAATTCATAGTGGCTTTATTTCCAATGGTCCAAAGTTGGCTCAAATCAAATGCCCATCAACTGGCGAACATATCAACAAACTGTGGTACATTCATAAACAAATACTGCTCAGCAACACAAGGGAATGAACCACATAACACAAAACAGCATTGATGAATCTCAAAACCATAATGTTGAACAAAAGCCAGATGAATAAAAGGTACATTAATTAAGATTGAATCTGTATGAAATGTTAAAACAGGAAACACTAATCTATAGTAAAAGAATGCAGATAAGTGGTTGCATAGAGCCATGGTTAGAGAGTAGGGATCAATGAGGGAACGATACCAAAGATATTGGCAGGGTGAGCGGGGCGAGGAGGAGCAATGATAGAAATTTTCTTTAACTTGATTGTGGTAGTGGTTACAAGGACAGATTGGTTTGTAAAAACTCAAAAGAGTTGTACAACTAAAACAAGTATATCTTATTGTATTTAAGATATTCCTCAATAAAGTTGAGTTTTAAACAGATATTCAAAGAAAAGCAAACTGAATGCTGAAATAAACTGCTTTCTGTTTTTATATTTTAGAAATGACTTCATCTCTTAGTGTCAGCAACTAAAATAATATACAAAATAATTGATTAAATAGTTAGCTGTTACAGATTATAGAAGCAGCTCCATAAAGTCAAGCTCTGTTTTGCATTTCTGTGAATTGTACACTGAGATTTGTTTCTCGAAATATATAAAATAAATGGAATTAACAAAGAAAAGATTCAATCTTGAGTGCCATATAACCCACAAGTGTTACTACACTTCTCCAGCTGCTAGGCAGATAAGGATCCAAGCTGGAAAGTTTAAAGCAAATGAAATTTTCCATAAAAATCTTCAGATAGCCAACATATCATAGTTACTTTGTACAGTCACTGTGAAACAAGTTTCAAATATTTCACTCTAAACAGCAACGAGATTTTGGAATAGCTGCGTGCTTAAGTCCATTTACAATTATTTGGTCATGGGGTGGGGGCATCGTTGGGGAAAGAGTCTACATGGTTTGTAGAAAAAATGTAGACTTTTGGAACAGACACACTGTCTGAATCCAGCTCTGTGACTCCTATATGACTTTGGGCAATTTCCTTAACCTTTCAGTTAGGTTCCTTTTCTGTAAAATGTGTTTTGTCTGGCACATAGCACCCAAACAATGTTAGATCCTTTTCTGACCACACAAAGGTAGAGTTATAATCAATATATCCTTTGGAAATATTAATCTATTGATAGAGTACAGGATACGATGTATAAGGAAAAGAGAGAGGACATAAAATAACCAATGAGGAGGATCGAAATAAGATAATAGTAGCTTGAACCAAGTAGTGAGTGGTAATGAGAATTGAAAAAGATGAATGAAAAACATGAAGAAGAAAGAATGCACAGGACTGGGTATGAGGGCCCAAAAATGAGAAAGAATTGAAGATATAAATAAGGTTTCAAGATTATGCGAGGCTAGAGCAGTGCTATGACCAGAGCTTGGTTGCATAATGACAAATAATAAAGTGCAAACACAAATAAAAAGTTGTTTCCCAGATACAACAGCTTTTTTTTCCCTTAGACCACTTGTTCAGATTTATTACACAAACAGAAATATGAACTATTGTTTGATTTTAAATTTTCTAGTAGTTTAATAGGTAAAATTAATTTTAATACTGTTTCACTTATATCAATATATTCAAAACAGTATCATTTCAACATGTAGCCAGTATAAAAAATATTAAGGAAATTATACATTCTTTGTTCTTTTATATTTAGTCTTCAAAATCTGATGTTTATTTTATACTTACAGCTCATTACAATTTGGACTAGTAACATACGAATGAGTAACTACCATATTGGACAGCACAGACTTAGAGTATTAGATACTATAATCCATTTTTATTTCCAGATCAGTAGATAAACAAAATGCAGTAATGTTATACTACTCAGCAATAAATACAAACAGACTACTACAACACAGATGAATCTGAAATACTTTATGCTAAGTGAATAAACCAGACCCAAAAGGGTACTAAGTGATTCTATTTATATGACATTATGGAAAGGGCCAAAACAAGAATGAAAAACAGATGAGCAGTCGCCTGAGGCTAGAAGAGGGGAGGACTTGACTAAATTCACAGGGGAATTTTGTGGGATGATGGACCTGCTTTATATCTCAAAATTATGGCAATGGTTACATGACTGTGCATTTGTCAAAACTTACACAACTGTATAACAAAGCGGTGATTTATTATATATAAATTATATCTCAACAAATCTGATGTTAAAAAAATGTATTACCAGAAGATAATGCTAATTATGCAAAACAAATGTTTAAAAATAGGCACTTTTATTTAAACACACTAAAGATAAATATGGTGTAGTAATGAAGAATGTACATTTTCTTACTAGTTAAATCTCTATAAATGCTATGTTATAAAAATTTTATCATCACTCAGCCTTACAAAGTAATACTGCATAGTTTATTTTTATTAACACAATGATATGTAACACAAATTTTAAGTAGGAAAGTTTATTTAAAATATATTCTCCCTGTAGATATGACACCAAAAGCACAACCAACCTAAGAAATATTTTAGGTAAGTTGGACTTCAAAATTAAAAACTTTTGTGCTTCCAAGGGCACCAAAAAGATAGTGAGAAGAGAACCCCAAAAATGGGAGAAATATTTGCAAATCATATATCTGATAAGGGACTGAATCTAGAATATGTAATGATCTGTTACTACTCAGTAATTTAAAAATTCCAAGTTCAAAAATGGGTAAAGGATCTGAACCGACATGTCTCCAAAGAAGATATACATATGAAAAGATCCTCAACATCATTAGTTATCAGGGAAATGCAAACTAAGACCACAAGATAAGCACTTCACACCAACAGAATGGCTATAATGAAAAAGATAATTAACATGTGTTGGTGAGGATGTAGAGAGAAACTGGAACACTTATACACTGTTGGTGGAAATGTAAAAATGGTAAAACTGGTTTGGAAAACAGCTGGCAGTTTCTCAAAAAGTTAAATAAAGGGTTAACATATCATCCAGCAATTACCCAAGAGAAATGAAAATACGTCCACATAAAAACTTGTACATGAATGTTCATAGCAGATTATTCACAATAGCCAAAAAAATAGAAACAATTCAAATTCCATCAACTGATAAACAGATAAATGTGTTACATCTATACATTTCATGAAAAGGACTAAAGTAATGATTTGTGCTACAGTGTGGATAAATCTTGAAAGCATGTTAGGCTGAAGATGTCAGTCTCAAAATACCATACATTGCATGACACTATGTATACGGGATGTCCAGAATAGGCAAATTTATCAGGACAAAAAGAAGTTGCCTAGGGCTAGAAGGGTTTGGGGGAAGGGGGATGGGGTACCTGGCTAAAGGGTATGGGTATCTTTTCAGAATGATGTAGTTGTTCTAAAATTAATAGTGCTGACCTTTGCACAACTGTGTGAATATATTAAAAACCATTGAATTGTACACTTTATAAGGGTGAGATGTACTGTATGTGAACCACAAGGTCTGTTTGGAAGAAATCCAACCATTGTTAATATAATAAGAATGGTTTGCATGACCTCGAAGTAACCTGGCAGCCAAAGGAGAGTGGACTGGAATGCACATGTGTGAACAAAGACCACCTCACTGTGTTAGTCAGTGGGGACAGAAGAGGTCATTGAGTGAACATGTGTACTGTGTAGCCACAGCATTCAAAATGGCTGAGTGAGTAGAGCAATGAATCTGCATCAAATTTTCCATTAAGCTTGAACATACCTCTGTGGAAACTATTCGGATGAATCAGAAAGCCACAGCTACGGGCAAGTGGTGATTGGCAACTTCATCACAACAATGCGCCCAGTCATGCATCATGTCTCATGCAGAGTTTTTAGGCAAAACATCAAATCAGCCAGGTGACTCAGACCCACTACAGCCCAGATTTGGCACCCTGCAAATTCTGGTTTTTCCCAAAACTAAAATCCCCTTTGAAAGGGAAGATATTTCACTAAAGATTCAGGAAAATACAACAGAGCAGCTGATGGCGATTGGGAGAAGTGTGTAAGGTCCCAAGGTGCTTACTTTCAAGGGGGCTGAGGTGTCATTGCCCTAGGTACAATGTTTCTTATATCTTGTATATTCTTCAATAAATGTCTCTTTTTTCATAGTACATGGCTGGATAACTTCTGGACAGACCTTGTATATCTCAATAGAGCTATTAAAACATACTCATTATGCTAAGTGAAATAAGCCAGTCAGAGAAAGACAAAAACCATATGATTTCACTTATATGTGGAGTGTAATGAACAAACTGAACTAACAAGCAAAATAGAGACAGACTCATGGATGGAGAACAGATGACAGCTAGTTGGGGTGGGGAAGGTTAGGGGTTGGAGAGACTGAGAGAAAAGGAAAACAGACATGTTGCCCATGGACATGGACAACTGTGTGTGGTAATGGAAAAATATAATAAAGATTATATATTTAAAAAACACTCACTTATATATGGGAGAAAAGTTTTTATTTTTAAAATTTTTTAATGTTTTTGCTTTTTTCATTACCATTTAGTCTTATGGTGGAAGAGATTTTAGTCAGTACTAATAAAACAACTAAGCAACCAAAAGTGATGTCTATACAAATGTGTAACTTCAGTATTTTAGTGGCATCTTTGGCACAAAGTTAGGAAAAATAGAATAATTACCCTTTCTACTGAAGACAGCTGCTGCTGTATTTCATCACATTTTTTGTTTGCTTCTTCAAAAAGAGTTTTATATTTTTCAGTCTGAGACTGTTGTAAATTAATTGTTCGCTGCTGTCTCACACAATCTTCCTCAAAATTTTTTACTTGAGATTTTAAATCCTGAATTTCATCCTCCTATAGTCATGAAATTATAGGTATGTGAAAAAATGCACATGATTTGGTATCAAAACATAAGGCAGAAAACAAACAAAAAAAAAACCTTCATGTGATCTTTGATTTTCATCTTCAAAAATGGAAATCAGATATTTTGTTTGTGTTCAATAGCTGACAGTTGTAAGTCTAACATAGAGAATTCTAAACGCTAACAAGCATTTAAGATTCTTTACCTCTGAAAATTCAGTAACTTATAATGAAGTTCAGTATTTACATTAAATTTTTGAATTCAAAATTTCACTGAATTATATCTCAATGAAATTATTTTAAAAATATAATTGAAATTGCTCTTAAAATGTTGTTTAACATTAGAGCATGTATATTGAGAGGTTTTAAAAACTTACCTTTTTATTGCATTCACATACAATATTATCCAATTCCTGCTGCATAACACGGAGTTTGGCCTTCAGAAATCTGATCTGTGCTTCTGTGGATTTAAATAATTACATTTATTGCCTTTCACTGAATCTAAGATGTCATAATTTGTTAGGCAGACCATTATACCATGAAATAACAAAAATGCTCAAGGCAGTAATCTAACAGGAAATCCCTGTTTGGGAACACTAAAGACCCTAAATATCCCTAATGTAAAGATAAATGAAAAACAAATCCACCCAACAGAAACAAACTGTTCATATCTCAACAATGGAACCGAGGAAAGAAAAGAGGAAAAAAAACAAAAACCACTCCTGAGAATCTGAACCACAAGACAGTATTCACATAAGTTTGCAGACTGAATTCATATTTACCAAGGTGATCCAAAACACCTCAAACATAATATAAAGTGGACTCAGGTCAGTGATGTCCTCACTGTGTTTGGTAGAAACAAACAAATCCTCTCCAGCAAAACTATACTTCAAAATCAGTCACTGTGGTTATAAAATGCCTTTGACTGTAAGACACGTCTCAATTTCACAGAAGTTAAAATGTGTTTTAGAAACAAAGAAATACACTAACCTTACTGCCACAGGTTTCTCCCACAAACCCTCTTTAACATCTATCTTTATTCAATAACATCAGCAGTAAATCTTTGAGGTTTATAAGTCTATAAAAGTAAATATAGTGAAAAACGAACATAGAACTCACTGGTAGTTCATTCAATCATTTATTCCAAAAGTACATGTTAAGTCTCTACTATGTTTGAGGCATAGCAGGTTTACATATTTAAGGCAAGCTTTGTCTTCACAGAGCTTATCTTGAATAAACACTCTGAATTGTCTCTAACAAGTCAATAGGAGAGAGATTCATTTATTGTTCCACTTATTTATGCATTCATTGGCTGATTCTTGTATGTGCCCTGACCAGAAATCAAACACATGAGGAGGATATGGTACACTTACACAATGGAATACTATGCGAAAGAGAGAAGGGAAGGCAAGGGGAAAGGGAAGGGGAAGGGAAGGGAAAGGGAAGGGGAAGGGGAAGGAAAGGGAAGGGGAAGGGAAAGGAAAGGGAAGGGAAAGGGAAGGGGAAGGGAAAGGAGGAAAGCAAGCAGGCTAGCTAGCTACTGCCCTTTGCGGCAGCATGGATGGAATAGGAGAACAATATACTAAGTGAAATAAGCCAGGGGGTGAAAGACAAATACCATATGATCTCACTTATAAGTGTAACCTAATCTACAAAACAAACAAGCAAGAAAAATATAACCAACATTTAAAGAAAAAACAAACCAACAGTAACAAGAGGGGAAGAGAGAGACAGGTAATGGGGAAAAGAAGAGGAAGGGTGAAGTCAAGGAACATGTATAAAGGACCCATGGACAAAGCCAAAGTGGGGAAGGATTGAGGGTGGGAGGTGGGGGTGGGTGGGGCAGGGGAAAGTGGTGGGGGGAAGGCAGAGACAAATGTATTTGAACAATAAAATTTTTTTTAAAAGAAGTCAATAGGATAAATCCTGCAGAGCACAAAACATCTCCATATACTCTTACATCTCCATATACTCTTCCTGTTCCAAAGCTCTTTTGAAGTGTCCCCAGTGTTACCAAGGAGCTGATGAACTATGGCTGGCTCTAATCCACCCAGATCTTCCTAGCCTCAACACTCCTTCTAGCCTTTTATGCAACTTCAGGCTAACAGGGGATAAAAGGTGAATGATACATTCAAAACTGCAATATTTGCACTATTGGTCTTTAGGGATAAAGAAGGAAGAATGGAAGAACATGCTTTTCTTACTACCTCTTTCCGCAACTTTAGGTCCACAGCACAAAGCTCCCCGTCCCACTCCAACTTTACTCTTAAAAGCAATCTGTGCTGCTAAATTACTTTTTGATCTTTTCCTTCCCCAGGTAACCCTGGGCAATCATCTGGAATAAAAAAATAAAAGGGAAGACACCTAGGCCAAAATTTGTCAAAAGAGAGGTAAAGTGACAGAGGGGTGATTCAACAATTAGAAAAAGTAGCAATTTCAGATACTCTGTGCTGGTTCCCAGTACCTGGGAGGAGAAACACTGTAACAGGGCCATCGCTGTGTACTGAGCGACAGCTAACATCTAAGCACTGTGCCCTCCAAGGCACCTTAACAGAGACATAAAAGCAAGTTACGGCTTCACTTACCTTCCTCCTGACAACTAGCCCCAAAAAGGTTGGATAGGTCAATTAATCTAATGAATACATAAACGAATTGGTCCTCATTTATGACTAACTAGCATGCAGTATGATAATCATATGTGTAATTGTGATTTTCACAGAATCAGATTTTAAAAATAAAGTTTACAATCATCTAATACAAACTGCAAAATTTTGAAACTATGATATTGTTATTATAAAGGAGCTAAGCACCTTGCCTGAACTCACAATTAACTAGAGTTCAGCATTAACTATGTCCACATACACTCAACTGTTTCATATTTTGTTTACAATAGCACAGGTGGCTCCTCATAAATTTAACAGAATTTTAGAGGCATAACTGGTAACTGACATAATGCTTTTAGAAAATTTAAAGTTAGTATTATTATTTTTCTAGTGGTATGGAAAAAAGTTTATAAGAATATTATATTCATTAGAAAACTCACTTGATCACTTTTACCTGATGCTATATCTGTAATTCATTTATCCTTTTGCATATGTTAATTTAATATGCAATAAGTAGAATAGCGGTACATGAAAAAAATTCAAAGAACCATGTTTTTTTTTAATTTTAATGTTTTAATGATTAGACTTGGGGCATTTTAAACCTAGTTGAAGAATGGCCAATGAAACCAATACCACAAAAATAAAGAGACTAATTCAATGAAACTCTACTTAACCCATCATCCATTTTCAACAATTACTGACTCATAACCAATCACTTCATTTATAATCTCACTCATTCCTTCCACCACCATATCCTACTAGAGGATTTTAAAACAAATACAAGACATCACAATACATTTTTAAATGCCAAAAAGTTCCAAATAACTGTGCTATAAACAAAAGAAAACATACCTTTTCCAATGTCTTTACTAACACCACAAAAAATATCATCATCTATATAATCAGGTAAGCCTTCTTCTTCCAGTTGCACTTCAATTTTGCTAACTGTTTTTGCAAGAGAAAAGTCTGAGAAATCCTCTGGAATGGCAACATCATCGGCAGTTGGTATGTCAGAGTATTTCAATCTTAGACTAAAAAAATTACATATATAAATGTAGATTATATATACTGGTACTTTATATATAATATTAAAAGAAGTTATGACTCCTAGATACGACTTCTAACCAAACAATAAAGCATATCAGAATTACTGTAATTTTTAAATTTATGATGAAATCTGTAATTGATACTTTCAAGATTATACTATAAAAGACTTAGTAGATTTTCAATCTTTATGAATCACACAACCACAGAGCTAGAGAAGGCTTTATGAGGCCAGTTTGTTTGGACATTGCCTCCAAACAAGGGAACACCAAAACTAAAAGTACTGCCCTGGCTGTTGTGGCTCAATTTTTTGGGCATTGTCTTGAGAATCAGAAGACAGTGGGTTTGATTCCCAATCAGGGCAAGTGCCTGGGTTGCTGGTTTGGTCCCCAGTCGAGGTGCATGAGAGAGCCAACCAATAGATATTTCTCTCGCACATCGATGTTTTTCCTCCTGTCTTTTTCCCTCCCTTCCCCTCTCTCTTAAAAAAAACAAAAAACAAAAAACAAAAACAAAAAACAAAAAACAAAACTCATGAGTACTAAATGAGTACATGAGCACTCATAAAAAAACTAAGAGTACTGAATTAGGCTTCCTAGGTCAAATCTAGTCTGTGGCTTTTAATTTCACATGCTGCTGGAATACTGTACAAATTAATAGCACTCTAGCCATAATTCTTAAAACAATGAGGAAAAATATCTCTTGAGAAAGAATTACAGAGTGAACAGTATTAATAGCTCAAACTCAACATTTTTTTCAACCTAAAGAAATACATTGTAACCAGAATCAAAGTCAACCTAAATGCTGAATATGATTTTTATTCAAGAAGGGAAGAAATAAGAAATAAAAGTTACTTCTTAGAGCATTGAGGAATGTGCCAGGCCTAACCCATCAACTTTATGGTTCCAAAAGCCTTACTTTTTACTTATTTTAAGTGTAACTTACTTTCAACACACAAGCAAAGGCTTCTAAATTCTATTTAGAAAAACAACCACTTCTAAACTTCTAAGTTTACAAAGTAAACTTGAAGTCTAAAAATAAGACAACCCCTTCCAGCTATGTATGTATACACGTTCTTATATATGTAGTATATGTTCCCTTTTCTTCAATTAATTTTAGATTTTCTCTTCCTAGCCTTTTGCTCTATTTTTCTCTCTTTTATTGAAAAAACAAAAAGGTTATTTAGCCAATAAAAAGACAAGAATTAACAAAGATTTTTCCCAAATTATAATACAATTAGCAGTTTGGGTAGATAATAGACATATAAATTTCATAACTTACTGTGAATAAAAGCCTGACTGGTACAACCCACTGCAGGTATGACCCTCCTTTATAGAAAGTCTCCTAACCAAAGAGCCTCTTGGGTAGCACTTGATGCTTAAAATCCTAAGAACAGCCTTGAATTCTTTCTCATCAAAAACAACAGAATGTAAATTATAGTTATAGTCGTATTTAGAACAATATATCTCAATATATACAATAATGTATGGTACTCTGTTAAATACTCAAAAAGTGTATGACTAATTAGTCTACTTGAGAGAGGTAGGCAGGAAATAACACCTAGGTTCTAGTCACAGTTCTGAGAAAATATAATCAAAATAACAAAAATAACCACCAAAAACAACATTTAAATTTTTGAAATGTGATTTTGCTTAAGAAAATACAAAGTAACTGCTACAAGACATTTCTGAGAAGAAAATGTTTTAAATTACTGAATGTGGATAGATATATATAGTATAATTTAGTCTACTTGGGAGTAAAACATCTAAGGAAAAAGAAAGTTTAATAATTAAGAATGATGATATTATAAATTATAAAATTTAGAAAAGAAAGTATACTTTGAAAACTATACTATACCTTGAATTTTTCCTTCCTTTATTTGCAGAGTGTAGCTTTTTTTGAACCTTGTGTACTGGATCAATGTTTCTGGTCTTTGGCTACATGAAAAGAATTTAAATTATTTATTAATTAGATTCTAACCATTCACCAAGGAAAGTAATTTTATAATATATAGATTTGCTAGTTTGCTACATAAAAGAATTGCTATTTTCATGAAATTGATCAAATTGTATTTTTTTTTAAATCCCAGAATTGTATAGCTAGAAAAGACCTAGATATCACTAGGCACTAAGAGAGTCCAAGATAAAGAAAATGAGTCTCAAAGATTCAAGACTATTTGGCTAGCTGGTGGAATGTTCAACTGGATGTTCTGACTCACAAAATTTAGTTCTACTTACTGATTATTCACCAGACAAGCTTTCATATACACATACTGTTACCTTGACCTAGATCTCTATGGGTAGAGTACTTATAGATCACAATAAGCTCAGCACCTACAATAGTGATCTCTATATTGTAAATATTTAAATGAATGAATAAAGCTTTTAAATTGCATTCTTTATACATGAATACTTTTATTTTTCAGATTTTCTATCTAATAAATTTGGGCTTCAGAGAGAAAACTAAAAAATCCTTCGGGTACAGATTCATTTAACTTAGAATTTTTTCCAATGAATCTCCAAACTGTTCAGTAAAATTATGAGACAAAAAAAGACTCCACTTATTTTATGAGCAAAATTTCATGGAGACGTTTTTTGAGTGTCAAGGTTTATATTCTATTTCTAGAGTCATAAACCTTCTATGTTTTGTTTAAGTCTAAAAATCCTAAATTCTACAGAATGTAATTACATTCACAAAAAGTCTGATTTCATACCTGAGTTTCTGAATGTAGATGAACTGACCCTTCAGATAACAGACCTCTACAGACCAAAAATGAACATAAATTAATAATGGATGATACTAAGCCAAGAAACAATGAAAGGGAAAATATACATCAAGTAGACATTGCTATAATTCTAGTTATATATATGTTTATTTATTTAACATGAGTGTCAAAAACAAGAAAAGTTCTTTGGTTAAATAATTCACCTTGAAAATGCAGTACTTGAATCCTCCCACAACCAGATTAAAATTACAACTAAACTAAAGAACAAACATCATTCAGAACTTCCTGAAATCAACTAGGACTTTAAAGAGGAAGCCACATCGAGACCATCGAGGGTGGGGGGGGATGGAGACAGGAAAGGAGCTGGTACCCTACCCATGGGTGGTGGATAAAAGTCAGGAGGGACGGCTCAGCTGCGGAAGTGCCCCCAGAGGAGTGAGGGGTCCCAGGCGCACAGCAGGACCCCCAGCCCAAGGTTCCATTGCCAGCAAGAGAAATCCCCATAACTTCTGGCTGTAAAACCAGCAGGGATTATGGCTGAGTGAAACCAAGGGCTTATGGGGTCCCAGGCAGTTCCTCTTACAGGGCTCACACACAAACTTACTTGGACTTACTCTCTCTGAGCTCCAGGGCTGGGGCAGTAGCTTGAAAGGAACCAGGGAGACATATAGAGAGGAACTGAATTGTCTGGAATCTCAACAAGAGCTGGGTTGGGGGAGCAACTTTCTGTCAGACACAAAGTGATGGCAGAGCTGTGGCTGGGTAGTTCAGCTGCTTCCAGCATCATCCCCATATGCCTGGTTGCAGGTTCGTTCCCCAGTTAGAACACATACAAAACTCTACCAATGAATACATTAAAAAGTGGAACAACAACTGATGTTTCTCTTTCTCCCCTCACCCTTGTCTCTTTCTAAAATCAATAAATTAAAAAAAAGTTTTTAAAAAAGTGCTGACAGAGGCCACTGTTCCTTTTCGTAGACCTGCCCCCTGGCCCACAGAGCCACCAAGCGGGTGCCATATGACTCTCCATGCTCACACTGGTCACCATGCCCTGGATTCCGGAGACCCCACCCAAATTTCGAGACCTAAGCTCTCTGCAGGGGCTCTTCCGTAGGAATGGCCTGTCTTGGCTTATGCTTCATACTTTCTCAAAGTCTCTCAAACAAGCATCTGGCCTCAGTGTGCCCCATATCTCTAGCTAAGTGCCCCCAGGCCTTGGGTCACAACAGCCAGCCTTGGTTCACAGCGTAGCTTCACCAGCGCACCTCCAAGCCTAGCGCAAGTAGGAGCCGCCTGAAGAGTATTTTATAGCTCACGCCAAGTGGCCCTGGGCAGAACTAGGGCAGTGACTGACCTTGGCCTGCGCCTCCTAGGAGGCCGCAGATCCAATGCACCCAGGTAATAGCTTCAGACCACATCAAAGCACCACCCAACCACCTCCACAAGAAACATATTCAAGGTGAGAACTCAGCAGGCACCAGAGCCCTGCCAAGTAAGTCCTTCTCCATGCAGTGGGCCCTTGCACAGCTATTCTCCACAGTGGCCAATGGTCGCAGCCAGTTCCAGCAGCTAATCATAATCAGCCTGGGAGTAAATCCCTCCCATTGACATGCCAAGAGCAATCCAGGCTCAACTACAGCAGGAGGGTGTTCACAGTCTACACAGGGGGCACACCTTGAGTGCCCAGCTTGGGTGATAAGGGAGGCTGTGCCACTGGACCCTATAGAACACCTACTACATTAGGCCACTCTACCAAGCCCGGGAGTCATAGCAGCTCTAATAGATAGAAACAAACACAGGGAAACAGCCAAAGTGAGGAGACAAAGAAACATATCCCAAAGGAAAGAACAGAGTAAAACTCCAGAAAAAGAACTTAAAATGGAGAATAGCAATCTATTAGTTGCAGAGTTCAAAACACAGGTTATAAGTGTGCTCAATGAATTTAGTGAGAACTTCAACAGAGGGATAGGAATATTAAAAACAAAGACAGAAAACATATAGAACCAGTCAGAAATGAAGAATACACTAACTGAAATGAAGACTATATTACAGGGAATCAACAGTGAAGTAAATGAAGCACAGAATCAAATCAGAGATTTGGAACATAATGAAGCAAAAAATATCCAATCAGAAGAGCAAAAAAAAGAAAGAATATGGAGAGCTTCAAGATGGCAGCAAAGTAGGTGATCTGACTCTCACAGCCACAGGATCCCTGGACTGAGTCATCCTCCAGTACTGCAGCAGCCATCTTTCTTGTGTGGAACAATCCCCCCCAGGAGCATGAGCCTGGGAACGAGCAATTACCCCACCCTCTGGAACTTCTCTCACCCTACCATGTGGCTGTTAAGCCCCGCAAGGAGTCAGTGACATAAGCTGGGGCACAGAAGTCTGAGTAGACTCAGGAGGTGTCAGTGACTGGCTTTGTGGCGGGGCCATTTCCCCAACTTTCCCATGAAGCTCAATGACACTTCCCCCTCATAGAAGATCAAATAGAAACACCCTCCCTGCTTCTGGCAGACCCGATCTGCCAGAGGCCCCCACACCAGCTTGACTAATAGGGTTTCTGCCCTGCCAACATCAAGGAAAAACCCAGGAAAGACTCAGACTTGTGGCTCTGAGGTGAGGAATCACACCCAATATCCCCCCTGAAGTCTGAATTGGCACCTCCCCTCACAGGAGATCCAACAGTCACCTTATACCAATCGCCAATCGCTAGGATCTTTCAGTGACTGAGCCTTTTTAGTGACTAAATCTAACAGCCAGCCAGTAAGCAGAGGAAGAAAGCAGCAGATCCTGACGTGCCTTGGGGCGTTTGTTGACCTGCTCCTGGGCCCTGTGCTGGTAAAAGCCAGCCTTGGAGCACAGCTTGATCCTTCCAGTGCACAGCTAAGCAAAAAAAATGGCCTTGTGGCCCTTTTAAATTATTCCCCTCCCCTCCTCTAAGCTCCACACAACCACTGATTTCTGTCCTAATAGTTCTACTATTTCCAGAAGGTTAAATACATGGAATCCTACAGTATATACATTTTTTAGTCTGGCTTCTTCCACTTAGTATCCATGTTGCTGCAGCATTAGTAGTTCATTGCTATTCACTGCCAAGTAGTATTCCATTGCATTAATATACCATGATTTGTTTATCCATTCTCCACGCGATGGATCGTGAGTTGTTCCCAGGCTTTGGCAACTAACATTTACACACAAGTTATGCTTGGAAACATGTCTTCCTTTCTCTTGATTAAATAGTTAGAGGGGAGTTGCTGGGTTATATGCAATAATTATTTTTGAGTGCCTGAACGATGTCCCAATATTTCAAGTAGGAGCCAAATGTACTGTTGCCTTAAGTCCATTTCTTCTTTTTGTTTCTAAGTCCTCCTCGGTGTTTAAACATACCCTGAATTAGGGCTGTGCAGCTCCCACAGCCTGCTTCTTCATCTTAGAAGATTGGGGGTGCTGACACCTATTTTAAGATTTAAAACGTAACAGTTTAGATCTATCACTCTAAAGTTTCTTTGCTGGTATAACTTTCAAAAACTAATGAGTTTCTAATTTATTTGACTCCAGTCGGTTCCATGTCCCATTAGCACACCCCTAATTATTTCCAAGACTGCATTTCTTTACCCCGAACACCTCCTCTCCTCTCCCTCACTCTCCTTCTCCACACCCCAATTTAACAGTGGGTGCTTTGAGGTTGTCAGGTTTCCATGGGGAGACTATACCCCATATACTTAGGTCTTTGCCCTGAGCCATTTTATCTAATTGGAAAGTTTGAATAAGTGCCATTTACTATGGTCCTTGCTCTGAAGAACATTAATTCATTGGAAAATGTTATCAACAGTTGTGAAAACCACACCTTTAGTCTGATCTTTGGCTGAAGGTTGAGCTTTAATAGGTTCCTCAAAGATCTTCTCAATTTTATCTCAGTTTTTGAGTTCCATAACTCTACAAAGCAAAGATAATCAAAACAGTATAGTCCTGGCATAAGGATACACATATCAATGGAATAGAGTCCAAAAATAAAACCATGTGTCTCTGGTGAGCTGATTTTTGACATGGGTGCCAAGATCATTGAATGGGGAAAGAACAGCCTTTTCAACAAATGTGCTGAGACAACTGGATATTCACACGCCTAAGAATGAAGGTTGATCCTCATCTCATACCACATACAAAAATTAAGTCAAAATGGGTCAAAGACCTAAATGTAAGAGTGTCATTCTCTTAGAAGAAAACATAGGGATAAATCTTAATGATCGTGGATCCATTGATTCTTAAACATGATTCCAAAAGCGCACATAACCAACAACAACAAAAAAACAGATAAATTGGAACTTCATCAAAATTAGAAGCGGGTGACTTTTCCCACATTCGAGGCATCAGTTTCCTAGAATCTCCATATTCCCTTTCATTTCTGTTTGCAAAAGAGCCAATTCATTCCCAAACTTGTCTCCTCCTTAAATACCATGCCAAATACAATAGTAACAGCACATACTATAATATTCTGTTTTCCAACTTCTTCGCCTAGAATACAAGTTCATTACACATCTCTTCTACCTCCCAATTTACCAAAGGTGACAGTCTTACTAAATTCATTGCCACTACATAACAGTATTCCTCTGTCTTTTCAGCCTCCAACATCAGTTTCCTTGCTAGCTACCACCTAAGGGCTAAGCTAAGGCCATACTTTTATTAGAGTTTTTTTTATACAACACCCAATTTTCAATACCATCTGCTTTATTAGTTAGGGTAGGCTAGGATGATAACCCCCAAATCTCGTTAGCTTAACATACTCAAAAGAACAGGGGAGAGGGAGGGAGGGAGAGGGGGTGAGAGAGAGAGAGAGCGTGCGTACGTGAGCCCATTTTTCTTTATGTTCCATATGGTCACCCAGAGACCAAGCTGGGAGGTTTCACCAATTGAATTTTCACTGATCACAGCAGAGAAAGAATCAGCAGGAGGTTCAAACACCAACTCCTGTCTGTTTAGGCTTGAAAGAGAATAATTTGACTTCTCTTCATAGCGAGAGACTTGGAATGCTTGCTGATCACCATTGCACCTGCAAGATTTTATAGTTATTCACACAGATCCTATACTTTTCCTGTTAAATTTAACCCTGAATATTTTCTTGACATATATGAAACTCAAGGAAAAAAAAGAACTAATACATTTTACTTGTACAAATGTATTTATTTTTACAAGAAAGGTAGTATAGTATATTAAGAATAGCAGCATTATTTACAATAGCTAGGTGCTGGAAACAGCCTAAATGCCCGACAGTAAATGAGTGGATCAAAAAACTGTGGTACATTTACACAATGGAATACTAAGCAGCAGAAAGAAAGACAGAACTCCTACCCTTTGCAACAGCATGGGTGAAACTGGAGAGCATTATGCTAAGTGAAATAAGCCAAGCAGTGAAAGATAAATACCATATGATCTCACCTATAAGTGGAACCTAATCAACAAAACAAACAAGCAAGCAAAATAGAGCCAGAGACATGGAAATAAAGAACAAACTGACAGTGACCAGAGGGGAGGGGAAAGGGGGATAACAGGGGAAAGAAGGGGAAGATGTCAAGTCAAGGAACATGTATAAAGGACCCATGGACAAGGACAATGGTGGGGGGGAGGGGATGGAGGTGGGAGGTGGGGGTGAGTATGGTAGGGGAGAGTAATGGGGGGAAAATGGGGACATCTGTAATTGAACAATAATTTTAAAACTTTTTTTAAAAAGACTATGTTTAGAAATCTTATCAATTCTTGTTTGGATCTCAGTGAAATCACATACTATTCCTATGTCTCTGGACAAGCTACCAAGCTTCTCTAAGCTTCAGTTACCTCATTTTTAAAATGCGGACAACAATATTTAATTCAAAATAATACCCTGAGAATTAAACAAAATAAGGTAGGTAAAGGGATTACATTGTATCTGATTGGTAAAGCCCTAATTATTAGTATTTTATATATTACATTATTCTTCAAATTGTAGATTTACAATACTTACATGTAAAAAGATTTTATATAATAAAGGATTCACATACAGCTTGCTTTCAAGCTGTATTACAAAGCTATAGTAATCAAAACAGCAAGGTCATTAAAAAAAAAAAAACAGACCCACAGATCAATGGAACAGAATATACAGCCCAAAATAGACACACATATATGGTCAATTAATTTACAACAAAGGAGAATATATATACAATTGGGAAAGAATAGTCTCTTCAATAAATGGTGCTGGGAAAAGTGGACAGCCAGATATAAAGGAATGAAACTGGACCACCGTTTTACACCATGTACAAAGATTAACTAAAAATGGATTTAAAGACTTGAAAGTAAGATCTAAAAACATAAAATTCCTAGAAGAAAACATAGGTAGTAAGCTGCTAACACTGGTCTTAAAGATGATTTTTTTTTTAATTTAACACAAAAAGCAAAGGCAACAAAAGCAAAAATAAGCAAGAGGGACTACATCAAACTAAAATGCTTCTGCACAGGAAAGGAAACCACCCACAAAATGACAAGTCAACCTACTTCATTTGTGGATGTTGGTAAATGCAGGGAGAGCTTTATGAAGGCCTCTGGCACACTGCAAGAGTACAAGGTGATAGGGCACTGCCTGCCCACCCCCAAATGCCTCACACCATGCCCCTCTACCGCCTGAGCATCTTTGCACCTAACCATGTCTTCCCCAAGTCTCACTTCTGGTACTTTGTGTCTCAACCCTGAAGAGGATAAAGAGGTCTTCAAGGGAAATCATCTCCTGATGACGGGTGTTTGGTAATTCCCCCCTTCAGGTGAAGAACTCTGGCATCTGGCTGAGCTAGGACTCCCATTGGTGGCACCCACAGCATGTACTGGGAGTACCAAGGCCTGGCCACTGACTGGCAGGTCAAGCAGTTCCACAACTCCAAGGTCAAGTTCCCACTGCCTCACTGGGTCCTTCATTATTGCACAAGCCAAGCTTTACCACCAAGAGGTCCAAAACTTTATTTTAGATGCTGGGCCTCCTTGTCTCCTGATCTGTCCAAATAAACTCCTTGGGAAAACCAGAGGAAAAAAGACAACATACTGAGTGGGAGAAAATATTTTGCAAATCATGTATCTGATAAAAGTGTTAATATCCAAAATACATAAAGAACTCACACAACTCAATACCAAAACAAAAAGAATTCAATTAAAAAATGGGCAAAGGATCTGAACATTTTTCAAAGACGACACACAAATAGTCAATAGACACATGAAAGGATACTCAGCATCCCTAATTATCAGGAAAATGTAAATTAAAATCACAGTGAGCCCTGACCTGTGTGCCCTGACCTGTGTGACTTGGCTGGGTATTGTCCCACAAAGCAATAGGTCACTAGTTCAATTCCCAGTCACTGCATATGCCTGGGTTGTGGGTTTCATCCCCAGTTGGGCGCATGCAAGAGTCAACAACTGATTGATATTTCTCTCTCACATTGATGTTTCTCTCTCTCTTTTTCTCCCTACCTTCCTCACTCTCTAAAAAAATAAACAAATAAAATATTGTAAAAAAAAATAAATAAAAAAATTTTAAAAACCACAACGAGATAGAACTTCACACCTGTTAGAATGGCTATTATCAAAAAGATAAGAGATAAATGCCAGCGAGGATGTAGAGAAAAGGGTACTCTTGTGCACTGTTGGTAGGGATGCAGATTGGTGGAGCCACTATAAAAAACAGTGTGGAGGTTCCTCAAAAAATTTAAAAGAGAACTACCATATAATCCACCAATTCCATTTCTAAGTATTTATTTGAATGAAACAAAAACACACTCAGAAAAATGTCTGCACTCCATTTTCATTGCAGCATTATTTACAATAGCCAACATATGGAAACAACCTGAGTGTCCACTAACAGATGAATGAACAAAGAAGATGTGGTATATAAATACAATGAAATATTATTCAGCCATTAAGAAGACCCATTTGCAATAACATGAATGGACCTCAAGGCCATTATACTAAGTGAGTCAGACAGAAAAAGAGAAATATAGGATAATCTCATTTATATGTGGAATCACAAAAAAAAGAAAAGAAAAAGAAAAAAAGCTCATAGATTCAGAGAAAAGAATGGTACCAGAGGCTGAAGATGGAGTGGTGAGAAAAATGGACGAGGGAGTGAAAAGGAACAAAATTCCAGTATAAAATAAATAAGTCATGGGGATATTACATGCAACATAACGACTATAGTTAATAATATTGAATTGCATATTTGAAAGTTGCAAAGAACATAGATTTTAAAAGTTCTCATCACAACAAAAAAAATGCTGTAGCCATGTATGTGATAGACATAATCAGACTTACTGTGGTGACCATTTTACAATATATAAATATCAAATAATGTTGTACACCTGAAAATAACATAATGCTATATGTTGATTAGATCTTAATTAAAAATGAAAACAATCTTAAAGCATTTACCCAGTTTTTTAAAAAAAGTGTTTGAGAATTTAAGTGACTTACCTTGAACTATAATCATCTTCCTCTTCATATGATTTAATCTGTGTTGAAATAGGCTGAGATTGTACTTCTTGCTGATCTCTCTAGTTAAATAAGTAAAGATAAGTCACATAGGAAAAAATCTCCACAAAAATAGGATTTATTCAACTGCCTTTCTGATCATTCATCATTTCAGAGCTGTTAAACAGCTTCCATGAAATCAAGGCACAGATTTCTAACCGCTATGGTATGAAAATAAGGTCTGTTACAATGTAATTTCAATGTAGTTTCACCTCTCATCCATTCTGGGTTAAGGAAGTCAATGCCATTACATGATCTCGTCCAGCTCCTGCTTCCACACTACATTAGAGTGTTCCATCTTGTACAATATGCAAAGGAAATTAAACTCACAAGAAATGAAAACATAAATCTGTTTAATAGTTAGAAAAACTTGTCAAAAATCACACAAACCTTCAATGTTTAGAATACCACAAAAAGGTTAAAAAAGGAGCACTAAGAGTAAAACTTTTTGGCAAAGATATATCAAGAAATGAAAATGAGTAAACAAGCAAAAATTATATCCATTATCCTCTGTGGGGGCAGGAACATCTTCTCCCCTTTCTCAGCCCTTCCCAGTTTTCTACTCTATTCTTTTTTAAAAAATTAATTAATTAATAATTAAGTCCTTATTAGAGGGCTCTTGGAGCAGAATACATAATGAATCCCTCATTCTACTATAACTTTGGGTTTCTTTTATTCAAGTAGTTTTTGGCTCTTCAGATATGGGCAAAAACTAAAAGATGTAATAAAAATACTTATTTTTTAGTGAAACATTTAATTACAAATTCAACTAGCAAATCTGCAACTACTACCTAAATATATTACCTGAAATGTTTTATATATATTATGTTCCTTATTCTCAGCTAACAAATAATGATGAATGTGTGTAAGGCCTTAAAATAAAATATTGCCTCTTTTTCCCTGCCCCCATGAACTCCAAGATAGGGTGGAGGGCGGTGTTCAAAAGAATTATAATTAAATTAGAGTAAGGACTAAAAACAAAAGTTTGAAAGCAGCCACTTTATTCCTCTAAGAAATACTACTATATACTACCAATTAATAATGGGAATGCTGATGCTAAAGAATGGATGCTTAAAGCAGGAATAACCAATTTGGATCTCAGAACAGGGCAAATATGCTTACGTTGTCTGGTGTTATAATCTCATTACATTTTTCCTAACTATAAATCTGATTATGATCTATCCTTAAGAATTTAAGTTCTACTGCAGAATTTAAGAAACAAATTACCATCTAAAGATTGTCATCCTTTATCAACTTTGCCCAGAGACCATTTCATTTCTCTAGTTATTGAATTACCAGTGTTAATTCTACATAGCTACTCTCAAATATTAATCTTAAAAATAGTGGGAAAGATTATTAAATATTAATGTTATTAGATGATTGGACATCTAAATAGAAAACTTTTTCAGTGGCTTTTCAAAAATGTGTGCTTATCAAAACACATCCGTGTATATATACACATACCTACTTATATTCATGTTCAATTTGTGATAATCCATTGAGCTGAAAATTTATGCTTTGTGCATTTTTTACGTTAGTTAATATAAATCGAATTAAAAATGTAAAAATCTAGCACTTACACAAAATTACTAACAACATTTACTTACTATTGCTTCCTCAGCTTGTCGAACCAGATCAGCTGTTTTTGCCTCTAATTCTGCATTTAAACGCCTAAAAGCAGAAAATAATTTACTAACTGAGATGTACTGAAGATTCTAACAGAAATACAAGTAATTAAATTTCAGTAACTATACTTTGGCTAATCAACAAATTCCAAAACAAACACAACATTGTATTCTGAAATTAACATAACTATTAGAACACTTATCTCCAACTCCCCATGAGTCTCCCCCCACCCCCCACCCCCCCCACCCCCGCCCCGTAGAAATTACAAAGTGTAACTCCTGGCTTCTCTCTGACCCTCACTAAGGTGAAATGACTTATTTGGGAAGATTAAACGGGTAGGAATAAATTTCACTCTTCATCTTCTTGGGATGAACTGGGGGCAGGAGTCGGGCAGGAGTGGGGCAGGGTAGAAGAGAGGCCTGCTTTGGTCTGGGGTGTTGGTGTGACATTTTTATTATATTTCCTTATATTTTTCACCTGTAGCATATACATAATTTTGTACTGTGTTTTCCCATAACAAATAGAAGATATGTTTCTCTTTTTATAATTAGTGCCTTACATGGATATAAAATACTCTAATAGTTAAAGTTAACATAAAGTATTAATCTTTTCCTATTATTAGTTCAAGTCCCTTTTTCACTTTTAAAAGTAACACTACAATAAACATATTCAAAAGTACATTAACCTTTTTATTCTACTCATAGAATAAAATTAAAAAATTTCTAGACCATCTAGGATTTTTTTAAATTATACGAAAAACATATGTTGAGCAATTTTTAAAATGAGATATTTCATTTGTTTTTAGTAGATATGTGATTCAGAAGTAACACAAACCACTTGCAACTTCAGTTCCCTCCCCCCGCAAAAGAAAATCAGTAACATATCCCTTCTTAAAACAGCCCAATGTCTTAGGAAATATTTTTACATCTTAGGATGAGTTAATCAAAAGAAAACAATCTAATAAAGACTTAAAATTCCATTTAAGATAGCATTATCTGAGGTTTCACATTTCCCTAACAAGAACCATTAGAAGCTTCGTGTCGATATGGTAGATCAAGATGGCTCAGAAGGCTTTTCCTCTGCTGAAAAGCCATGGAAATACTGGATATAATATAATGAAGGATATATTGCTAAGCTCAAACTCAGGCAAGAGAAATACCTTGGCACCAAAAATAAAGCAGCAACTAAAAGTGAGAGCAGTTAAAGGAACAGAAGATGAAACAGCTAAAAAATGATGTATGTGTGGGAGTCATGAAAAGCTACACCTGTTAAACACAAACAAAAACACTAACCATAACCTTAGGTGAGCAGAAATGAAACTATAGCCATAGGTAAAAAAGAATCTCTTGTGAGTGAGAACATTCAGGAATGTGGTCCAAGTTCGTCTTACCCAGATGGTATAGAGATTTTATGCCAAAACATTAATAGAGAAAATTGGTCTAATCAGTAAAAAAAACTGATAAACTAAAGGCAAAACCACCCATAAGGACATTTACTCATCTATAAAATATACAACACTCTCAGAAAGTAAACCATGCTAAAATGATTCCACAAAGATAACAAATTGTATAATGAAACAACTCACCATGATGGAGAATTAGCAGATGCAAGAAAATTTGTACAAAAATTGAAGATAATAAAGCAATCTTAAAAAGATTTTTAAATAAGCATTTTTAATTTAAAAAAAAAACACAAAGCAAGAATAGGATCCATTAGGTAAGACCTAGACATTATTACAAAAGAACACTTAATATGGAAAAGAACCAAACAGAAGTTACCTAAATGAAAACACAGTCATCAAAATTAAAAATTCAGACTCAGTGGATAAGTTGAACAACAGACTGATCTGAAGGAGAAATAAATGGATTAGAAGACAGATATAAGGAAATCACCTAAAAGGAGGTACAGAGAAACAGAAAGTTAAAAATATGAAAGAAAGGTTAACATCTATTAAAGATAGACTATATGACAAAGACAGACTATATGACGAAGACAGATTTAAATGTACCTAATAGAAGGTACAGAAGGAAATCCCCGATAAGGAGGGAATGTCAATATTTGAAGATATAATGATGAGAATTTTCCAGAAACAAAGAAAGATATGGATCTTGAGCATAATTAAGAAAACTAATGCATATCTGTACACATCATAATGAAACCAAAGAAATTCAAAGACCAAGAGAATGTTCTCTAAACTACCAAAGCAAATATTTAATAAGAACAGATAGTCTATCAGCATGATTGTCTAGAAAGCTGACAGTAGATGGCTCATCAGCATCTCTACATACCAGTGGACAATGAAATGGTATCTTTAATGAGCTGTGGAAGGAAAAATACTGGCCGTCTAGAATTCTATGTTCAGCTCCTATTCTTCAAAAGAATAAGTGCAAAGTAAGAAATTTTTCAAAAAAGACTGAAGAATTTAAGAGAAATAATGAAGGGTCTACACTTCAGGAAGAAAAAAATTAAACCTGGAAAAGAAAAGAATCATGATGAACAACGAAATTAGAAAACATAATTATAAATGTAAATTAGTACGGACTATAAAAATAACAGGTATTCAAAACAAAAGGAAGTGAAATATCTAGTAATATCTAATTTGACAGGCACGGGGAAACAAAGTTAAAGCAGTCTAAGGTCTTTCCAAACCAATAAAAGGAAAATAAAGAAAATATAAACTCATTCAATACAACAGAAGAGAGAAGAACCCCAAAGTAGGCATAATAAATATAAACCAAAAATATTTATGGCCAAAAAAACCTGCAAATTAACAAACAAAATAATATAAATGTACTTATTAGAAAGCAGAAATTATCAGACTCACTATGAAAGAAATACTCCCTTAAAGCTAAATGACATAAAAGTTTGAATATAAAGGAATAAATAAAGATATAACAGACACTACATAATAATGAAAGGAATAATTCATCTCTAAAAGATTTAAATCAAATAATATATCCCCCAAATAATTGACACAATTACATGAATAATTATTCTTAAATTATAGTTATAGTTGATTTTAGTACATCTCTAACAGAAACCAATGCAGCTAGTAGAAAAAAAAATGATGGTATACTTATGTCATGGACATGAAAATTAATTAGCTTGATCTAACAGATGGTCAACAAATAGTAATACACTTTTTTAAAAAGATCTTATTTATTTTTTAGAGAGGGGGAAAAAAAGGAGAAAGGGAAGGAGAGAAATATCAGTTGGTTGCCTCTCACACTCCCCCAGCTGGTGACCTGGCCCACAACCCTGGCATGTGTCCTGACTGGGGATTGAACCGGCAACCTTTCAGTTCTCAGGCCAGCGCTGATTCCACTGAGCCACACCAGCCAGGGCAGTAACATACTTTCTATCAAAGAATATTATAAAAAGTGAACATGTATTACACTTGACCACAACTAAGTTTCAATAAATTTTTGAAAATCAATGTTATATACATTCTCTGACTATAGTGCAATTAAAATAACAAAATTAAAATGAGAAAAAAATATATTTAGGAACTAAAAACACATTCTTTAAATAATCAATATGAAATTAATCAAATATTTAAAACTATTAAATTGCCACAATAGAAATACATATCTAAACAGGTCCTGCAATACAGAGAGAGTTGGAAAGAAATTAACAGAAATTAAATGTGTTTATTAAAAAATAAGACAAACAAAACAAAAAAATAAATCCACAATTAGAAGAGATAGAAATAATAAAGAAAAGACTAATGAAATTTTTTAATAACATAGATTATCAATAAAATCAAAAGCTAATTCTCTGAAAAGACCAATAAAATGTATAGACAATATTGGAAAGTCCCCAAAAGGTGTGTATTGGGTTACAGACACAGTCAAGATTTAAAACGTAAGAGATAATTAGAATAAATTTATTCTAATATATTTTAAAATACCTTCAATGTACGCTTTTCTAGAAAACTATCAAATAACCAAACTTTATTCTAGAAGCAACAATTATTAAAGAAACTAAACTGATAGGCAAAAAAGCCGACACCAGACTGTTTCACAATTTTAATCAAAGAGCAGATGATCCTGATAACAAAAAGCTTCCAAGAACAGAATTTTTTAAAAAAGGAAAAAGATTCAACTTATAAGGCTAATACTGGTATCGAAACCAGAAAGGAAAAGAACTAGAAAAAAAGTGAAAGACCATTTTTACTTTTGTTCATAGATGTAAAAAACCTACACAAAATGAAAGCAATCACATTTAGCAGCCTTTAAAAGAAAATTTTTAAATATCTGCCTTTGTAGTTCAATATGTTAAAACATCAAACAAGATGGTGGGAAAAAAAAGCACTTCATCATCTAAATTAATTTAGGGGAAAAAAGTTCTGATACAATTTAACATTCATTCAAAGCAGGAATTAAGGGAAACAGTGTCCTTAAGCCTGATAAAAGAAATCTACCAAAACTCTATAGCAAACTTCAAATACAGTGATAAATTATTAAAACTGGGCTCCTTAAAAATCATAGCCAAGATAAAGATGCTCACCACCATTTTTTTCTATTTTACATTGAACTGGACGTTCTAACTAGATTGAGAAAGAAAGAAAAAGAGATATAGAAGAAGTCATAAAGGGATAAAACAATCATAATTTGCATATGAATAACTGTGTTAATGAAAAATCCAAGGAACTCCGCGGAATGAATAAAAGTTAAGCAGAGAGGATAATGGAGAGTCAGATACGGAGCCAGCCTGCTAGCTGTGTAGGGGAAGGGCTCAGAAAAGGAACAATGGCCTCTGCCAGTACTGATGTCTGAGAGAAAGCTGCCCCTCCAGATCTCACCCTCATGCCAGACACTTCAGCTTCTCCCCATATGTCCCTGGTGCCTTTCCAGTGCTCTGCTGCCCCAGTTCTGGAACTCGGAGTGAATCCAACTTTTTCAGTCCCAAGAGCATCTGAAGGCATGTAGCAGCTCTGAAGCAAGGTCTGAACTGTTACAATCTACTCTGCTGGTTTTATGGATATCATCAGCAAGACAAGAAAGAATTTCTATCTGATCTATGACACCAAGTGTTGCTTTGCTGTTCATTATAATATACTTGGGAAGGCCACATACAAGTTGTGCAGAGTGATAAAGATCTTTGTGGGCCCAAAAGAAATCTCTCATCTTGTTACTTATGATGCTCATACTATATGCCACCCTGATTTCCTCGTCAAGGTGAATGACACAATTCAGATTGATGTGGAGACTGTGTATGGCGGTAGCCAGAGGTGCTGACCTGGGAAGAATTGCTATGATCACCAACAGAGAGAAATTCTGATTCTTTTACTGTGGTTAATGTGAAAGATATCAATGGCAATAGCTTTGCCACCCTGCTCTGCACATCTTTATTACTGGCAAAAACAATTTCTCTTCACCATGGAAAAAGGTATCTGCCTCACTGCTGCTGAAGATAGAGACAAGAGGTAACCACAATGAGCAGTGGATAAAATAATCTATAGGTAACATAATTGGAAAAGTGTTTTTTTTTTTAACATAGTTAAAGATAATATGTAATAAAAATAAAATACTCCATCTAACAACCACAAAATACACATTCTTCTCAAGCTCACGTGGAACACTCACTAATATAAACCATATTGTGATCCATAAAATATACCTTACAATTTTAAAAGAATAGAAATCATATAAAGTATGCTCATATATGATAACTGAATTTAATTAGAAATCAAAAACAGAAAGATAAGTAGAAAATTGCTAAATATTTGGAGATTAAACAAAAAATATAAGTAACTCATGAGTCAAAAGGTAAAGGAAATCTAAAAATATTTTTAACTAAATGAAAATGAAAGTACAATTGTACAAATATGTAGGATGTAGTAAAAGCAAAGCTTAGAAGGAAACTGATAACATTAAATGCATATAGAAAAGAAGAAAGATCTAAAACCCATATCTAAGCTTCCAGAGTAGGAAACCAGAAAATAAAGAACAATTTAAGCCTAAAGGAAGCAGAAGAACGAAGTAAAAAAAATTGGAGCAGAAATCAATGAAATTCAAAACAAAACAAAACAAAAAAAACCATTACAGAAAATCAATGAAACCAAAGCTAATTCTTTGAAAAGATAAAAAAAATTATAAAATTCTAGTTAGGCTAACGAAGAAAAAGAAAGAGAACACTCAAAATACTAACATTACAAATTAAAGAAAAGCCATCACTACTGATCCCATGGACTACGGGATAATGAAAGAATACTATGAACAACTTTATGCCCACAAATGTGATTAACTTAACATGAAGTAGTTCAATTCTTTGAAAGATACAAACTATCAAACTCACACATGGAGAAATTGGTAATATGAAGAGGCCTATATCTATTAAAGTAATTAATTCAGTAATTATAAAACTTTCAAAGCAGAAAGCACAAGACCTAGACACTTTAACCTGTGAACCGTACCAAAGATTTAAGAAAGAATTGATACCTATACTCTAAATCTCTTCCAGAGACTAGAAGCAGAAGGAACATTTCCTAACTAATTCTAGGAGGCCACAATAAAGGTAATACCAAAACCAGACAAGGACATTACAAGAAAAGTACAGATCACTATCTCCTATGAGATTTTACTCTTCTCCATGATGCAAAGATCCTTAACAAAATATTAGTAAATAAAATCCAACTATGTATAAAAAGAATTATATACCATAACCAAGCAGGATTTATTCCAAGTATGCAAGGCTGGTTCAACATTCAAAATCAATTAATGTAATCATCATATTAACAAACTAAAAAAAAAATATGATAATATAAATTGATGCAGAAAAAGCATTTGAAAAAAAGCCAACATTCATTCATGACTTTAAAATAAACTCCAGAAGACTCTAAGAAGCTTTCGCCTGGTTTTCTCCAGACTTCCCTCCATGCACCTTTTCCCATAGCTGATTTTGTTTTGTAATTTTTATAATTTTTCACTGTAACAAACGACAACCACGACACAACTTAAAAAAAAAAAAAGTTATGCAGAGCTGATGATGATCTTTATCTATATAAATAGGTGTTAGGCTCAATATACAAAAATCAATGTTCCTATATATCTAACCAATTAGAAAATATAGTAGGAAAAAAAGCCATTCATTATAGCAACAAAAACTATAAGGAACTTTGAAAAAATTATATATGCAAGACTATTATGTAGTAATATGATAAAATACTATTAACAGACACCAAACACCCATGTGTAAATGGAGATGTACCATATTTGTGGAAGGGAAGATTCAAAAGCATAAAAATGTCAGTTCTCTGCAAATTAATCTATAAACACAATGTAATTGGCATTTACAGGCAGGGGGTTGGGGAGCTGGGGGGTGGCGTGGAAGTTTGCTCTATTATCAAGACCAATTAAAACAGAGGTCACATAATCTTACTGTATAGCTCTCTAGCTTTATGATATACACATGAAGCTTGGAAAATCTATTGACTTCAATGATCAGCATGTTCCTTAGTCTATCCTCTTGTGATTATTTCCTCCAATTCTGGACTAGAATCAATAGGAAGTCCTGTGTTCAGCTGATTGAAAAGACAACACAACATGCTTAGTATCAAAACAATGAGGCAAAATACTGTTATAAACTCATATTCTTGCCTTTAAAAATGACCAAAGACAGCCCAGCTGATGTGGTTCAGTGGATTTAGCACCAGCCTGTGAACCAAGGGATCAGAGGTTTGATTCCCAGTCAGGGTACATGCTTGGGTTGCAGGCCAGGTCACTAGTTGGGGGTTTGTGAGAGGCAACCCCACATAGATATTTTCCCTCTATTTCTTCCTCCCTTCCCCTCTCTCTAGAAATAAAATACTTTTTAAAAAATGACCAAAGACAAATACCATACAATTCACTTATATGTTGGAATCTAAAAAAGAGAGAGAGAAAACAAAATAAACCAATAAACAAAAGAAAAACAAGGTCATAGATGCAAAGGACGGGCAGGCTCCAGAGGGGTAGGGGCTAGGAAAGAGAGTAATTAATGCTTCCAGTGGTGATCACTATATACTATAAAGAAATACTGAATTATAATGTTGGACACCTGAAATATATTTAATGCTGCATACCAATTTTACCACAATAAAAAAGAATGGCCAGACATTTCACTCCTCTCCATGGTGTAGAAATGATCTACAAGCTTCAGTCAGAACTTAAAACTACTCTGTTGAAATGCCTCTAATTTGTACACTGCAGAGTACAGGTTACAGAACGACTAACACCTGGGTGCCTTTACCACAAAAGAGCTTTTGCTAAAATAGAACAGCTCCTGCAGATGCCCGCCTTTAAGCAGGGCCATATCCCTAATGACAGCCACAGCCAGGTGCAAAATACACCCTTAAATAAACAAGTTAACCTAATCAGTACAGGTTGTTAGTGCTACTTGGTGTATGGTGATAGAAATAACTGTTTTGGGTTGAGTACAGCTGATTCAGAATTGTATATGGACAACAGATCTGGTGTGTTCAGTTCAGTTTAAACTGGAATAATAGACCCATTTCATCAAAGAGGAATGATCATGTTCCTACTTGCTATGGCAAGGGGGCATGTGTCTCATTCAACTAAAGTGAATACAATCACTTTTAACTTTAAATATGCTTTAATTTTAAGTACAAATTACAAGGTAACCTTGTTTAACTGCCTACAGAACTGCCAGAATGTGTTCCAAATTTTAAATTAATTACTTTAAAAAGAAAGTGAACTGTTAAAAAATTTTTTTTTTTTTTTTGGTAAGTGTATGTACACTGGTAAGTAAAAGACACGCTCTTGGACCTTGAGGGACTCATCATCCAGTGGAAAAAAAAAGACAAAAATTAAACTAACAAATGAATTTATTGTAACGTTATGCTAAACGCAAAGAAAAATTAGCAAGACAATAAAAAAAGAGTAACAGAGAAGTCTATTTAGCATAGTCAAGAAGACGTGTGTGAATGCCCCCCAAAGGAAAGAGAAGGGAAAAGCTCGAGGAATAGAAAGGTCAGTTAGGCTGAAGAGAGCACAAGATCAAACAAGACGCAGGAGCCAGATCTGACAGAGCGTTTGAACTTCAACATGAAGCCACTACAAAGTTTTAGGCAAGGGAATGATATGATCAAATTAAAAGATTACTCTTGGCATCTGTGTGAAAACTAGGGCATGAAGAGTGCAATCGTCCAAGAATGAAAGCACGTGTTGGGCTAGTTTGTAATTACGCTGAGCAGATAAAAGAAATCCTTCTCTAAATCCGCCAAATGTGTACAAGAATATAATTCCAGATGCCCTGAAAAATAGGCTTTCAATTTAGAAACAAGCGTGAAAGAAATTTACAAGAAAATTTAAAAGAAAATTCCTAAACTCTAGGAACTTGGAATTAAATAGAATTCCTTAAACTAAAAACTGAACTATTCGCGGCAATTCCTGCTATCATAACCACGTCTAGCAGCATCGTTTTACTGACGAACAAGTTTGCTTGGGTTAAATTAAATTTTCACCCACTTCAAACACCTAGGACGAAAGCGAACTCAAGTAAAAAAGATGGAAGAGAATGCTGGGCGGTGCGTGGTCCCAAAGATCTAGTCACCAGTAACAGTACTTGTAAGTAGCCTCACTTAGGTGAAAGAAAGAAGGAAAAGGTGAACCGCCAGATTTCTTACTTATATTCTTCCTCCTTCGCGAGGAAGTCTTGTCGAGGTGTAGCAGGTTGCTGAACGCGTGGCGGGAGTGGAGACCCTGAAACGGTCCGTCTCTATAAAAGAGATGGGAACTTTCAGATCCAGAGTTAAAAGCTGTTCAGCGTTCAGTGGCCCCCCGCCCGCGCCCCGCAAACCTTTTCGCTACCCAGGAGTTTGGGGTTGAACTGACCCTGAGCCCAAGTCCTCGCCCCGCCATCTTTCGCGATCAAGACGCCGTTACCGAGGCAACGATGTAACTTCCCGCGAGAGCTACCTCCTCTCGGGCAGCCTCAAGCCCGAGGCGCCGACTTCTAAACCCAGAGCCGCGCGAGGCTGGACTGAGCCGGAGGGCTGGGGACAGGGGTGTGGCGCGGACACCTTGGCCTCGGTTTACCTCGGCGTGGTAAATAATAACAGGACCGAGCGCAGCCTCGAACACAAGAAGCGGATGTGCTTCGTTGACTTATAAATTCTTAAGGGGCGGGGCCGGAGGGGGGCAGTTGACAGCGACGGGACAATGATGGGACTTTGATGACACAAAGAAACTTTTGGGGATAATAGAAAAATTTTATATTTTGATTGTGGTGGTAGTTATATAGTGTATAAATTTGTTAAAACTCAACAAATTGTACCCTTAAAGTTTTATTGTAGATGAGTAAGACTTAAATGAATCTTACTTTTTAGAAAGACAAAAAGGTAAGTAAATTCTTAAGTTGGTATGGAGGGGTTTCAACGAAAGAAGGAAGGTGCATTTCTACTGCTGGGTGGGAAGCGAGATAGTAAAGCCCCTGCTCTGCTGTGCTTTTCCAAAGTTGATGGCCAATCCGACTTTGCCCCGTTTTACTTAAAATGAACTCTTCGTCGGAATGCTAAGTTCTGATTTCTCACAATTATTTATAGCATGCATCAGAGCTCAGACTCTCAAGTCGTTAGGCCTAAGTTTATGTCCAGGTTGTGCCACTTACTAGCCATGTAGTCTGGACAATGCACTCTGTATCTCCACTACTTCTTCTGTAAAATGGGAGTAAGAATAGTGCCCATCTCACAGTTCACATGAGGAGTAAATGAAATGTGCTTAGGCTTGTGCCTGGAACACAGTAAACAGTCCAAAATTCCAACTTGAGAGAAATAAACTCCAAAATGACCCTTCACATTTAGAGTCAATTAATCTTCAGTGACGGTGCTAAGACCATTCCATGGGAAAGAATAGTCTTTTCAACAAATGGTACTAGGATAAGCGATGTCCAAATGTGTAAGAATGAAGTTGGACCCTTATCTTACACTGTGTACAAAATTGACTCATAATGTATCAAAGACCTAATCTTAGGAGTCAAAATTATAAAGCTCTTCAAAGAAAACTTAGGTGTAAATTTTCACCATCTTGAATTAGGTAATGATTTATTTGATGTGACACCAAAAAACAATGAAATTAAAAACATTTGTTTCAAAGGATACAGTAAATAAAGTGAAAAGACAGACTATAGGAGGGGAGAAAATTTTTGCAAACCTTATGTTTGATAAGAGACTTGTGTCTAAAATATATAGAGAGTACTAAAACTCAAAAATAAAAAGATAAATAACGCAAATGACTTTGGGGCAAGGGTCCTGAATAGGCATTACTGCAAAGATATATAAGTAGCCAAAAACACAAGAAAAGTTGCTCAGTATCATTAGTCTTCAAGGAAATCAAAATCAAAATCACAGTGATATTTTGTTCATTTTGAAATTATGTTCATTTCTTCAGGTTGCTATAACAAAATACCACAAACTATATGGCTTAACAGAAAATAACATCACACCCACTAAGATGACTATACAGTAATCAAAAAGACAGACAATAACAAGCGTTGGGGAGGATATGGAGAAATTCAAGCCTTCACATACTGTTGATGGGGATATAAAATTATGCAGACACTGTGGAAAACAGTCTGGTAATTCCTTGGAAGTTTACACAGAGTTACAACATGATTCAGCAACCCACCCGTAGGTAAATACCTAAGAAAAATGAAAACTTATTCCCTACATAAGAAGTGGCACACAAATGTTTATAGCAGCATTTTTCAGAGCAGCCAAAATGTGAAAATAACCAATCATAAACTGTAATGGGTAAATAAGAAGTGGTATATTCATACAATGGACTATTATTCAGCAACAAACAGGCATAAAGTATATTGACAAAAAACTACAATATAAATGAACCTTGAAAACATGCTATGTGAAAGAAACAGTTCACAAAAAAACACATATTCCATTCAAATATGACTACATATTACATAAAATGTCCAGAAGAGGCAAATCTATAGAGACAGAAATTAGATTAGTGGCTGCCTACCCTGGCAGATGATGGGGGATTGGCTAAGTGGTTGCGAGGAAGTTTTTTTGTGTGGCGGGGGAAGAGGGATTCATGAAAATGTTCTAAAATTGATTGTGGTACTGGTTGCACAGCTCTGTAAATATATTGTACTAAAAGCCAATGAATAATACACTTTACATGGTGAATTTTAGGTATGTGAAAGATATCAATCAAGTTGTTTAAACATTAAAAATAAATAAATTATTAAAATGAAAAAGGCAAGAGACATAGAAAAGTACACCATACTAATGCTATTCAAAAGAAAGCTAGAGTATATTAATTTCAAACAAAGACTTCAGAGCAAGGAAAATTATCAGTGACAAAAAGGAGTATTACACAATGATAAAGAGGTCTATTCTCCAAGATGACATAACAATCCTTAATGTGTATGCACCTACAAATGAGTGTCAAAATGCATGAAGCAAATCCTAAGAGGAATGCAAAAAATACAAATAAATCTAATATATTTTGGAGACTTCCACGCCCCTCTTTCAGTAATTGATTGTTCAAGTGGACAGAAAATCAGTAAAGATACAACTGTCCGGAATTGTGCTATCAACTTGATTTAATTGACATTTAGCAAATATTCCATCCAAAAATACACATTTTTCTCAAGGTCACATGGAATATTCACCAAGATACACTGCATTCCAGGCCATAAAGTGCACATTAATAAATTTAGAAGAACAGAAATTATGTTCATTTTTCAGGCTGCTGTAACAAAATACCACAAACTAGGTGGCTTAACAGAAAATAAATATATTGTCTCCGTTTTGGAGGCTAGAAATCCAAAATCAAGGTGTTGACAAGGACATGTTCCCCTTGAAAATCCATAGGGGAGAATCTTACCTCGTCTCTCCCTAGCTTCTGGTGGTAGCTATCATTCTTTGGCCTTCCTTGGCCTGCATCATTCCAGTCTCTGTCTCTATAATCAACACAGTGTTCTCCCTGTGTGTCTCTGTCTTTACATTTCTTCTAATAAAGACTCCAATCAATTGACTTAGGGCCCTGTTTTCATGTCAGTCTCAGCCTATTGACAGTGATGTTATTGGCTAGGAATGACTAGGGGCACTCAGCTGGGCTCTTACTACTAGGGGCCAGCCCCGACAAATATTCCCCTCCATTCCCCCACCCCAGACATTTCACCAGCCAGAGCCAGTGTTGTGGCTGGACTGGACCTTGTGATTCTATACTTATTGCAAGATTCACCTCGGCAACAACCATCAGGGAACTCTGATAAGACAAGGTTTCTTACACACAAGTCCTGGAGGATAGATGCATGACAAGTCGAAGGGCCACAGGGAGAGGTCCAAGGTAGAGAGACAAAGCACAATCAGGTTCTGCCTTTATTGGGGTCAAGGATAGGGTTCTTAGGGTTTTGTGGGTTCACCTTTTATTGATGAATTTTAAAATTCAGGAATTAGGGCACAGAAAGGAAAAACTGTAGTCACTCAGAACAGTCAGTTATCTAGGTTATTCAGAGTCTTCTAAAAGGAGAACTTCATGGATGGGGGAGGACTGGCTCCTTAACTAGTTGTTTAGTTGTAGCTTGTAGTTGTTTAACTAGTAGCTGTGTCATCCAGCTGGCAATGTGTTTATTCAAGATGGATGTCTTTGAAATGGATGCTCCAGCAACCAAAAGCTAAATATCGAGCATTTATATTATGATAAAAACACTTATTGCCAGGTACTTACACTATAGACCTACCTTACTGATCGCATCCTAACTTCATTACATATGCAGAGATCCTATTTCCAAATAAGGTCATATTCACAGGTAGGGGTGGTAGCGGTTTACAGCTTTGACATGTATTTTGGAGGGACATAACTCAACCTGTAACAGAGATCATACAAACTATGTTCTCAGGTCACAGCAGAATTAAACTGGAAATCAGTAACAGAAAAATAGCTGGTAAAAATCCCAAAATATTTGGAGTTTAAATACACTTCTAAATAATAGAAAAAATCGCAAGAGAAATTTAAAAACATTTTGAATTAAATGAAAGTACAACTTTTCAAACCTTGTGGGATGCAGTAAAAGCAATGCCTAGACAAGAGTGCTTAGCATTAAGAGCATATGTTAGAGAAGAAGTAAAATCTAAAACCAACAATCTAAGTTTCCACCTTGGGCAACAAAAGAAAGGAGAGCAATTTAAGATTAAAGAGAGCAAAAGAACAGAAATAATATATCTGTTAAATATATTACACAAATTATAATATATATTATATATATATGCATTACTGAATTTAAAGGAAGTAGGAAAAACTTCTGTGTCCTCCTGACATATGGCTCTTTACCTTTCCGCTCCCTCAAGTAAACAAAATTCTTCAAATAGGCAATTAAGAACAAAAGGACTAACCTGAGAAAATACCCATAAAAGAACTGTGCTCAGCAAACAAGGCTTAGGTCAACAGTAATATGATGGAGCTGAACTTGAGATCCTTACACTAAGCTACTAAGTTTCCTGAAAAAAAACAAACAAAAACCATGTAGTTCTAGATTAGTAGTGCCAGGGCTCCTAGAAGAATCAAACACAAATCTTTTTCTGACAAAAATATCTCGAATTAAACCCACCAGATTCCTGGATTAAGATCAAGAAAATGTGAGTTTATTATCCAAAATGACCAGGCATCAAGGAAGCATCCATAATCATATGAGAGATATGAAAAGAAATAATATTCAGAACCCTCAACAAAATCAGATATTTAAATTTTATTAGTTGTGAAATATAGAATATCTGTTTAGAAAATATTTAAAGAAATAAGGGAGAAAATCATAAGGATGAGCAAGCAACAGAGACTGTCAGGAATGAACAAGCAGAAGTGCCAAATAATCAGAAGAAGGTCTTAGACATTAAACATAT